TATTATTATTATTATTATTATTATTATTATTATTATTATTATTATTATTATTATTATTATTATTTTAGACGTAAAGCCTCCAGAATTCACAGCATAGGCACAGATGGGTAGGTAGATATTTTTATTTTTCCGAAAGGAAAATTTTGCACCCTCAGTGCAAAAGGAGCTGCGTCTCCAGGTCTCCTTCCTTGGTGAGGCTGGCTGGGGCTCCCGTGGGGTCCAGGGGGGTCTCGGCCCTCATTTTCGTCTTGTTTTTGAAGACCTCGGGGAGCTTCGGCTGCGGGTCTGTGGCGGCTGAGCTGAGCATCGGCGCTTCCGGTTTAGGGGCCCATTCTTTGCCGGTGCTACCGAGATTGTTCCGCAGAAAGGAGAGGAAAATTAAAGAATCGAGCCAAATACAGGTAGTCCTCGACTTACAGTCATCCGTTTAGTGACCGAAGTTCAGGCATTTGGCAGCCGGCTCGCATTTATGACGGTCGCAGTGTCCCCGGGGGGGTCATGGGATTCCCTCCCCCTTTGGCGACCTTCTGGCCGGCAAAGTTAATGGGGGGGCAGCTGGATTCGCTTAACGTCCACGTGAACAACTGCAGGGGTTCACTTAACGACGGGTGGCAAGAATGGTGGTCAGAGGGGGCCAAACTCACTTAACAACTTAGCCATGAAAATTTCGGGCTCGGCAGTCGTAAGTCCGAGGGCTACCTGTGTGTTTCCATAAACCATGGAATCGGTCGATTACCTGGGCTGAGCTTTGGCCGGGAGGGATCCGTCTTCGTAGATCTTGAGCTGGCTCTCTGGCGGATCCGTTTTCTCTTTCCCCTCCTGGAACCTGCGAAGCGGAGGGGGGTCCGCGTGAACCCCAGGGGAGCTTCCCGCCACGAGGCGAAGGGGGCCATTTGCGGTGGGGGCTCAGTGAGCCCTGAAGTAATGGAGAATGAGGAGGAGGGGAGTGGGGGAGGAAAGAGAAAAAGGAAAGGAAAGAAGAAAGAGAAAGACAAGGAAGGACGGGTGGATGCCGGATGGAGGAAAGGAAAGGAGAGAGAAGGAAAGGAAGGAGAGAAGGAAGGGAAGGGAAGGAGGGAGTCGAGGCAGACCACTAGCCATGGTCCAGGAGCTGATTTCATTGATTAATTGATGGATACACCTGGGGGGCAGGTGTCCCCTCACCTGGGCTCCAGCCTCTCCTTGACCCGGGCGATGGAGCGGACGTAGGGGCCGATCTGCTTGGTGATGGCCGTCAGGTAGCTGTTCTCCTGCCGGAGCTGCAGCAGGTCATGGAGCTGGGCTGGGCAAGGAGAGAAGCCGAGTTTTTCCTTCCCGAAAGCCAACCCTCCTTCCCGCCCCCCTGCAACTCTGCACACGCTCAGAGGCGCCTCCGCCCAAGAGGAAGAGACCCTCACCTTCGTAAATCTCCTGCTCGTTGGCCACCCGCTGGTAAGTTTCCTCCCAGGTCTAGCCACGATGCGAGGAGGAGGAGAAAGAGGAAAGAGTAAGAAAAAGGGGGAGAGAATTCAGCCAGGGCGGCGAGTTCAAGAGTTGCCACGAAGAGGCGTGGCCGGCTTACCTCTTCAAACCCGGTCCGTCTCATTTCCACCGACGAGAACTGGGAGGCAATCTGGACGTCCACCTGGAGGGATTTCTGCAGGATTTCGCTCACCTTCTCCGTCCTGATCAGGGAGTGGTGCTTGGTGAGGTCGCGGTGGAGCTCCTGCACCTGGTCTTTCAGGCTCTGGATCTCAGACTGCAGCGCCTGCGCACACGAGACAGAGACACACACACGGCGTGAGGAAAGGGTGCGAAACCTGCCCGGGCTCCCTAAAATTTGCATAACTTTTAATTGGATTTAAAAAACTCAACCCGGCATCCCAAAGTCCAGGGCTCCCATCGCTTGGAGGGTTTCAGAGACCAGCCATTCGAGTTGGGAACCACCACCTGCCTTAAGCAGCGGGTTGGGCTAGATGACCTCTGAGGTCCCTCCCAGCCCTATGTTCTAACCGCCTCTCAAGCCTGTTCTTGCTGGGAGGAACATTTCAAAGATCAAACTTGACTAAAAAGCAGCCCCCAAATTCCACGAGAGGTGAATATACGTAGAATTGTACGTACGAAACGTTCTCCTGATATATTACAGACAGTCCTCGACTTACGACCAACAATTCCCAGCCGGTTGCTGAATGAGTCAAGCCCAATTTTACAACCCTTTTCATCTTTCCAGCCAGCATTGTGTAGCAGCGAACCGTTCCTGTCGTTAAGCGAATCCAGTGGTTGTTAAGCGAACCTGCCTCCTGCATTGTCTCCATTCGTCGGGAGCCGGTTGGGAAGGTCACCAATTGGCCATCGCACGTCACACATACATAAACCCCCAGGATGCTGTGACCGTCATAAATACAAGTCAAGACCTGAAATTTGGATCATGTCATCAATGGGGATGCAACGGTCATAAGTGCGAGAACTGGCTACTTCCGTGCAGTCGTAGCTTCGCCAAATGGAATGGCCGTAGACTGAGAACTATCTGCATCCTTCTCTTCACTTTTTGTACAGGTAGTCCTCGGTTTAACGACCGTAATCGGCCCTCGTTAAGTTGCGATGACTGTTAAATTAGTCGCCTGATTTTGCAACCTTTCTTGCGCCGGTCGTTAAGCGAATGAGGCAGATGCACCTTGGGAGCGGGGTTTCCCGTGGTCCTTACCCGATAGGTGTTCTCGTAGTCCCGACAGTGGTCGGTAAACGGCGTCTCTCTCCCTTCGGCCAGGAGGACTTTCGTGCTGATATATCGGTGCATCGTGGCCTTCCTTACCGGCGACCCAGGCAGGGGCATTTTCTCAAGCGACGACGAACAGCCGGTCGCTAAGAGGGTCTTGGAGCTGGCAATCCTAGACAGAAGCCAGGAAAAATGGGGAGTTTTATTAGCCCTTCCTTGCAAAGCCAGTAAGCCAGGAAAAAGACAGCTGGATGAGCAAGGTCCTGGCAAGCCTGCAACCGTCATAAGTACATGCCAGTTGCCAAGCCTCTGCATTCTGGTCACGTGACTTTTGGGGATGGCATTGAAAGTGTGAAAAACAGCCCTTAAGTGACTTTTTTTCAGTGCCGTTGTAACTTTGAATGGTCACTAAATGAATTGTGAGTCGAGGACTGCCTGCAAGCTGGTCGGTTGCAGAATCAGGACACTTTAGAACATAGGACCGTGGGGCTGGAAGGGACCTCAGAGGTCATCTACTCCAACCCGCTGCTTAAGGCAGGAGACTTCATATGATTCCCAACTCAAATGGCTCGTATTTGAAACGCTCCAGCGGGTGGAGCCCTGAACTTGGGGTGCCAACTTGAGTTTTAGATTAAAATAAAATTATTAAAATAGGATTTGCCAGGTTTTCTTCCCCACATCTTAGAGTCCTTCCTAAGTACCTGAGACAGGTAGACGGCTGGGGAATTCTGGGAGTTGAAGTCCTGCATTATCTCACTAACTGGCTGACTTAGTCCTCCAAGCAAAAGAGATGGTGGGAGAGACTGGCTATGCAAGACTTCCTGGAATCCTCCTTGCCGCATAGACCCCCCTTCCCAAGGGTTTGAGTGGCTGTCGCTGCTGGCCAGCCCCGCCTTCAGCCGGCTGCCTAGCCAATAAGGAAGAAGCTGAGACGATGCAGTGGGGTCCAGCTGTTGCAATGGGCTAAATGACCTCTAGGGTGCCCACTGAACAAGAGACGTACATGTTGCTGTTGCTCAGGCCGGGTCCGATGGCTCCTGCGGTGCCCACCACTGACCAGCGTGGGGACAAAGGCAGCAGCGGCTCCAGGCAGTGGGCAAACTCAGCCCGGTATTCGCTGTTGATCTGGAAATGGAAGGAAGGGAGGGAGGGAGGGAACGAAAGAAGGAGGGAGAGAGGAAGAAAGGAAAGAGGGAGGAAGGAAGGGAAGAAGGGAGGAAAGGAAAGAAGGAGGGAGCGAGGAAGAAAAGGAGGGAGGGAGGGAGGAAGAAGGAAGGAAGGAAAAGGGAGGGAGGACCAGAATTTTGCTCAGACAGGCCTGTTAGCTTAGCCTCCTCCCTCCGCAAACCAAGTATCCGGGGTTTATCTGCAGAATCCAGGTTTATCTCACCTTGCTGGTTTGCGACGGCCTCAACCGGTGGGGTTGTTTGACAATCCTTTGCAAGCGCTCCATCAGTTGCTGGAATCAAAAGCAGGGCAGCCTCAGTCAACCGGACGGCCATCCCCAAACCCTAGGGCTGGAAGGGACCTTGGAGGTCATCTAGTCCAACCCCCTGCCCGAGCAGAAGACCTTAGTCCATTCCGGAGCCCCAAAATTTATGTGGCCGAGTGAGAAATGCGCGGAGTGCGTTTTGCCCCGTTTTACGCCCTTCCTGGCCACCGTTCCTAAGTGAAATCACCGCTGTTGTTGAGGGAGCCGCAGTGTCGTTAAGTGAATCCGTCTCTTCCTCCCCTTCACTTTGCTGGTCCGAAGGTC